CGTGTTACCCCCTCGGGACTTGTGTTAGCTCCTCAAGACTTGCTCTATCCCCTCAAGACTTGTGTTACCCCCTCAAGACTTGTGTTAGCTCCTCAAGACTTGCTCTATCCCCTCAGAACTTGTGTTACCCCCTCAGGACTTGTGTTACCCCATCGGGACTTGTGTTACCCCCTCAAGACTTGTGTTAGCTCCTCAAGACTTGTGTTATCCCCTCAGGACTCGTGTTACCCCCTCAGGACTTGAGTTATCCCCTCAGGACTTGTGTTACCGCTCGGAACTTGTGTTACCCCCTTGGGACTGCCAAAGGCAGTAATGACTGTGTCTCTGCCCTCGCCCCAGGTTGCACCAGAAGCGACTCTTCCTGCAGAAGCAGTCCCAGCTCCAGGCTTATTTCAACCAGATGCAGATAGCCGAGAGCTCGTACCCGAGGTCGAGCCCACTGCCCCATCCCTGCCAGGAGGAGCCGCCGCCAGCGCAGTTCAGCCTGCAGCAGCCCCTGAGCCCCGTGCTGGAGCCTTCCTCGGAGCAGATGCAATATGGTCCCTTCCTCAGCCAGTACCAGAAGGTGCAGCTGGACCCACTGCCACCCTCCCAGCTCAGCAGCCCCTCACGCCTGCCCACCCCGGTGCAGGTGCAGCAGCAGCAGCAGCAGCAGCAGCCACAGTCCGTACAATACTCCTATCAGACTTGTGAATTGCCTGTGCCCACCAGCCCTGAGCAGTGCCAGTTCCCCCTGGACCCAACACCCCAGAGCAGTGTAGCATTGCCTGAGAGCCAGAGCAGCTCAGCCTCTCCCGAGCCCCAGCCCAACTACGACTCGCTAACCCTCTCGGAATTGCCTGGACTCTTTGATTGTGAGATGATGGAGACTGTAGATCCCCAGCACAGTGGTTATGTGCTGGTGAATTAGCACGGCGAGGGTGGCTAAGCTGAGAGTGAAAGGACAAATGGAGAAGCATGTGAATTTTTTTTTGTTTTTTTTTTCGTTCCTACCCCAGAATTCATGGTAATTTTTCGACCCTTGAATCGACAGGGGAAGTAAAAATCCACCTGGTTGGAAAATGAAGCAGGAGGTAGCAAGAGGTGTTTGGCTCCTCTGGCGAGTGGCAGGGGCTAGAGAACAGGTAGTGCAGTTTCATCCCACAAAGAACTCTAGTTGGCATAGAAGGAGGCAAAAAAGGTGAGTTTTAGAGGAAGGAAACAGCCCCTCCTAGGAAATTTGGGGAGTTTGTCAGCATTCATCCAACATTCACTTGGACGAAGGAGAGTGAGTGCACACTGTATCATACTTCTTGGCAATAAAAGCAATAGTTTTCATTGAAATTCAGGGTAGATTTGGGTCTGCGCTGACGATGGCAACTGAAATACTCCTGAAACTGTAGCATGAGGTGGAATCAAAGGAAAGTTGCACTTTGGCATCCAACTGCTGGTTAAGCTACTGATCTGGAACTCCCCCGTGGTAAGTCTCCAGGATCACCAAGCACCTCAGGCAGCCTCCACTTCCTCCTGCTAGCGAGTCAAGTGTTTCCCAAGCCTGCCAAGGAGCTCTTCACTGTCTGCTGAAGGAACCTGGATCTCTGCTAAGTCACATCCTGACTGTCAAATACACCTGGAACTGCCACAGGGCACCACATGGTTCTGGAGACCTCTGGGTGGGGATGCTGAAGGGTAAAGGATGAGCTGACAGAGCAGAAGGTAAGAAGTACCATGGGACAAAGCAAGAGCTGCAGCCAATGGCATGAAATAGGTAAAATCCACCTGTGTGGCTCCTGAAATCTCCTGGTAGAAGATTTTTTTCATGCCAATGGCATGAAAAAGGTAAAATCTCCTGTGTGGCCTGGAGAGGTTCTGGAAGGATCCACGTGTCCTTCGGTTGCATTCTACAAACAAGCAAACAAACTGTGTTTTGAGTTTGCAGTATGTGTTGCTGGTGGTTTATTGAGCTTTGTATATTTGGACAATTATTTTAGGGTTTTAGAACTTAAGGATAAAACAATGAGCTTACAAAAAAAACAACAAAAAAAACAACCCCTGTGAAGTGATAGTGCTGTGCCTTTTTCAGTTCTTTATCAGCCTATATGCTTTTTTCTGAAGAAAGTAGACAATACCCCATTTATATCCTTGCTGTGGCCAAAGTCCCTTCAGAGCACAAGTTCCACCATGTGGGACATGTTTAACTTTCTTAGTGTTTTAATTGCTCCTGTATATAGAACATGGGAAGTATTACAGCAATATTTAGCATCAAACTGTTGATGTATCAACCATTTCAAGAAATACTCAACTCAACAAACAGTTGAGTCTCCAGAACTTTCAGTCATGAAGTCCTAGGAGGAGGTTTGCTTAGGGATCTGCAGGAAGTTGGGATCTCCAGTTTGGGGGTTGTCTCTAGCCATTAAGCACTGTGGGACAGGAGAGGATGATGGATGAGGCTCACAGCTAGTTCAGCCCTTTTCTGAGCAAACATTAAGCACAATTGCAGCTTCATTAAAGCACAAAGGGTGAGAGAAACTGTGCTGATGACACATGCAGAGAACACCAGTGTTTGCTGGAAGGTTTGGTGAGCTAAGGTCTGTGACACTGCCAGTCCTGAGGACACAGGAAGGTGGATAATCAGCATTTACAGCAATAAGACCACATCTGAATGTGGAATAGAAGGACTTTAGTCACTGGGTGTGAGGGAGGGAAGGGTTTATCAGCTGCCAGAAGGCACCTGCTCCCTGTGTGCTGCAGTGAGACAACTCCTGCTGCTGTGGAGCCTCCTCTGATCCTGGTCCAGGAGTGCACTGGACTCAGTCCTTAAGTGCTCAGCTTCTACCTCTGATACCACAGGAATCCCCAGGGCAGCAGCAAAGGAGAGTTCCAAGAACAGGATCACATCCCTACACTAGTGATGTGATGCAAGGTAAAGAGGGCTAGAAAGCTCTGCTTTAAATAGCTGAGAGGGAGAAGGTTTTTGTTGTCTGGTTTCCCTTCAAAAGAAAACTGGTCCAACAGAGTCAATCCCTGTGGAACACACAAACCCCTGTGACACCTGACAAAGGGGAGGGAAACAGCCTGACAAGTGCTGCAGCATAACACACCAGGCATTCCACTGCTGCAGAGAGAGAAAACAGAGTCCTGTCCCTTCCTTCCTTCTTCCCTTCCCCACGGCATAACCAACACGTTCTGGCATTTTCACCTCTGTCCAAACCCTCACAGAGCTGCAGTGAAAGCTCTCCCAGGACCCTCAGCACGATGGAGACAAGTTCTCCTCCAGGAGCTGGGGCACTGCCAGAACTATAACCACTTCCTTCCCCATCCAGCTCCAGGATCCTGCACGTTCCAGGACTCAGAGATAAACATAATCCTGTTCTGGAGCTCTGCAATTCCTTTATCAGGATGTGCCAACGAGGCTGAGCTCATTGGAGCTTTGCAGTGCTGAGCAGGGGGAAGCTACAGTGTTTTTCATGTAGTTTAGACTCTTCCCCTCAGCCGAAAGCATATTTAACATTTCATGTCATTTCCTTTAAGCCAATTAGACTAAAAGGCTCCTACTGCCTTCTCCTAGAGAGTATCCATTGGGCTCCACTTCGTCCTACTTGGAAGTGGCTTTTTTTGTTCCAATCTGTTCTGTCTGACATTAGAGAAGTGTGTACACTACTGTTAGAGTAATGATTAGCTTTATTACCTTGTATTACAGACTCCTTTGAAGAGACTTTGGTGTGATGTACATGGGGTACCAATTTCATACGGAGAAAAGTGCAATATGTGTGTGTGTGGTATGTTCTTTAATGTATTTTTTTAAGGAGTTAGAGGGTTTAGTCTCTGCTTTGGGATAAAATGCACTAGTTTTGTGAGCTCCAGTTTGGCAAGTTCATCTGTAGTATTTACATGCGACTGATCTGCTGGACTCTGTAAAGCAGTTACAGTGTATTAATACAAAATAAAGGATATGTGCATTTCATTTTTAAATGGGGAGTGAGCTCAAGCAGCCCCTGGTGCTCTTTTCTGAGTTACTGGGAGCTTATTCTCTCTCTGAGGCACTGACTACACACGACAAAGAGCAAAAGGAATCCCTACTGCAAAGGCTGGAGGCTGCTCCCCATCCTTCTGACATACCTGGGGTAGTCAGAGGCTCTGGCAAAGCAGAATGCCATGGTCCTCACAGAGGGAACCTGGAGATGAGGAGATAACAGGGAGAAAACCTGACAGTTCCTCCACAGAGCTGCACCAACAGCTCATGGGGTGTGCGAGAGAAAACATCAGTAGCTCTTTTCTCAACATCACTAACAACACTTGTGACCCTCAGGGTTCCTGGCAGCAGAAATGTGTGATGCTTGGAGCTGCTGGTGCAGTACCAGCTCATTCTGTGTCCTCCACACTGCTGTCCCCAGTGCATCTGGGACCTCAGCTGTGAACAACTGCCCCTGAGCAGTCCCTGGGACACACAGGGACACAGAACACTTGGGAACAGAATTAGTAGCTTGTGTGAGCGCCGTGACATGCCAGGAAGCCTCCAGACTGTGCACCAGGATGGGATATGCCAGTGGTGCTGAGCCTTGACTCCACACTCAGCTCGACACTGTCAGAGCTGCTTCCCACACATCCTGCTCCTCTGCCGACTCCTAAAACCCCTGACACAGTCCTGGGCAACGATCCAAGCACGAAGGGTGAAGCTCCTGTGTGCTCTGCTGAAGCAGAGACGTCAGCAGAGCTCACAGGGTGACTCAAGCTGCACAGACAGGGACTGTCACCCACAGCACCACAAATGGGACACGCAGGACAGGGAGAACACAAATGCACTTTCCCATACAGACAGTCTGTCACTGCTAGCAGTCAGAGCAAACCAGAGAAGGTCACACCTTCAGGGGTTACCTCAGCTAACCTTACAAGCTGTCTGGAAGACACTCCCCCCAAAAAGATGCAAAGGCTAAGCCATCCTTATCCCAGTGGAGACAGGAGAAAGCCTCCCCCTCGCTGGGCTAAGTTCTGACTTACAGGCTAGGTCAGAGCCTTTAAATCCCTCGCAGAGTTGCAGAGCACAGCATTTCCCTGCTGGGCCCCAGGCCAGCAGAGCTTTCCTTTCCAGTGTGATCTGGCTGACAGTGCTGGTTGGAGTGCTGGCAGAGGGATTAGCAGGAAGGCTGTCCCAGGGACACAATAGGCTGTGGGCACAGGTCACGCAGGGGGTGAAGGTACAGTGCTCACAGCTCTGCTCAGCAGGTTTGGGCATCCGAGTGGGGCTGGAAAACTGTCTGAATTCAGTGCTGAGAGTGTGAGTGTCACCCCCTGCTCACCACGAGAGAACTGGTGCACTAGAAAGAGGGAAGGGGACAGTCTAGAGGAGGTAACCCCAAATATTCTGTGACAGCTCAGAAATATCCAAGCCCCCCCAGGAGGTAACCCCAAATATTCTGTGACAACTCAGAAATATCCAAGCCCCACACACACACACACACAGAGGATCTCTGCACACTGGGAGAAAGAAGGACTTCTGCAGCCCAGAACACAGACACATGGCCAGAAGAGCTTCAACAGGGATACAGCCAACAGCTGGAAGCTTTAGTCTTGCAAGTCTTTAGCCAGATCTGGACAGTTCCTCCTAGTGCCAGCAGATTTCTACACCTGGAGAGGTAAACAGCACCCAAGAGCACCAAGGCTGGGGGTATTTCCCTGGAACCACACTGACAGGCACCTCCCAGCTGCAAAGCACAGCTGCCCCATTCCCTCACACAAGGTGAGAGTTCATCAGCTGAAGCTGAAGCTCTTTTCTCCCTCCCCAGCCAGAACACTCCACACCACAGCCAGACCTCTCCCCACACACACACACAAAAGCAGCTCCTTGGCTAACTGATCCCCAAGACGGACAGTGAATGATCTATTGAAGGTTCTTAGAAGGAGCTGACCCAAGAGAAGTTTCTGCTCATTGCA